TAATATTTACTCCTCGGGAATCACATAGCTGTGATTCTATGGAGTCAATTTTCTTTCATTATTTTTGCAAGCAAAGAACAAGTTTTGCAAAGTGAAAAAAAAAAAAAAAAAAAATGCAATCCAGAAATTCAACTTTAAAAAAACATTCTAATAAAAAAGAAGTTTTGAGAGTAACTTTGCTGTTTTCTCAGATTTTCTCAGATTTTAAAATATTTTTTATTTTTTTTATTTTTTTATTTTATTTTATTTTTTTACATATTTTATATTTTCAAAAAAATGTCTTTCAAATTTTTTTGTGTTGCTGTTAAAATATTTTTCTGAATTGGATCCTTGAAAAATTGTGTTTTCTGGATCACATTTCCTTCACTTAAAACCCTATAAAAACACAAAAATATTGCTGCTAACCTCCGCACAGTTAGAAATAGAAATGTGCCTTAGATTTCACTCCAGAAGAAAGGAAATGTAAAAATACAAAATCTGCATTTTTTTTTCTTCTTCTTAATAAAATGTTTTTTAAAATTTAAATTCTGGATTTCATTTTTTTTCTTCAAATGTTCGCTTGCAACAATAATGGAAGAACATTGACTCCATAGCTTCACAGCTGTGTGGCTCCTGAGGAGCAAACATTAAACCTGAGCGGCTGCAGTTTGGCTTCGTCTCCCAAACAAAAGCCTTTCCATTTATTTAGCCTCCTGAAGCAGACGAGTGTGGAAGAAGACGGCGATAATAAACCGTGAAAGTTCACGCGGGAGTTTAGACAAAGGTTATCATCATACTGAGCTCATGGTTTACACTCATCAGCGCACGGGTGACATCTCCAATTCCCCTGCATCCCAGCGTAAACACACAGAGAAAGACTGACTGATTGTGCTGGGAGTGATCAAACGGCGTGCGGTGTTATTACCACTGATGAAAGATCTCCAACCATTCAGTCTGCTGCTTATTTTTTTTTTTCTCTTTGAAAAGTGACAGCATGAGATTTATCAGTTCTTTCTTTTATTCACCTGTTAGTTCTCTCTGAAGGCCGAACACAAAGCAATGAGGATATCAGACAGGAAGAATCACTCATATCTGATAACATCACTGGAGATTAAAGCCTCAACTTTCATCTCTGAAGAAACAACGTTTAGGAAAGATTTTGTCCAGATTTTGCTACTGATCTGCGGACCGAGTTCGCAAAATATTTATATATCTTCTTCTAAACTACGGCGCTCCATCCTGCTACGGAGCGGCTTTCTGAGATTTCCACAACGACTCTTAATTAATAACTAATGAGGGTTTTATATATGGATCTGACAGAGTTTGAAACTTTTAAAAGAAAAGTTCGGTCAGAA